TGGAACTATGCAACAGTTTAAATAAATGTAATGTATATAAATATATCATGATAAAAATCTACCATTGAAATTGATACTGTAAGTAGGTTTATAACTTTTATATTAATTGTTATAAATGATATGTTGAACAGAATAGAAAAATAAATAAATGAAATGGTACTATTTTCATTTAGGAGTGCACCTCTCTTGAATGGAGCCTCATTAATTTATGTGAAATAAACTGTGTTCACACCAGTCTTTTTTCTGCGGACCTTTTCATTCAATTTCTTATTTTTTTCTCCAGCCTCACCACTTCTAATACTCAAGATTATTGCATTGGTATCAGCAATTTGAGTATCTTGAGTGATAGTGGAGTACACAATATTTTTGATATATTTCTGAGTGCAATTCCTTCTAGTAATTTCTTGAGAGATGGAAGAAGAATAAACTTGTTCGATTCTGAAACTCATGTTTCTACCGAATGAACAAGCACTGAGACTATAGAAGGGCTGCCCCAAATTGTCCTTACTTTATTTAATAATCACTCATCTTTGACAGGCTGTATCAGTTACCCAGATCGCAGGATGTGAGAGGGGAATTGCTTTCTCCCAGTAGGAAATACAGTAAATGAGATTCTGTCAGACAACAGGCAGGCAGCTAGAAAAAGACAGACAGAGGTAGGGGTGTGTGTGTGTGTGTGTGTGGAGAGGGAGAGAGAGAGAGAGAGAGAGAGAGAGAGAGAGAGAGAGGGGTGGACATTTGCTACCTGTACTTTTCTTTCTTTCTTCTTTGTTTTTTTTTTTCACTTTTCTCATACTCATTCCCTTTTCTAATCGTTTTCTTTCTCTTCCCACAAATGATTCAATGATGGTGTCAGGTGAAAACCCAATGCTTTGAATAGGATGCTAGGATTGTTTTCAACAGTGGCAACCATGTTTCTGAGTCGCACTCTGGGAAGAAGTAGGTCAGATGTGTGTATGTTGTAGGTGATATTGGGTTTGACAGAAATGGAGAGGGGAAAGCAGAGTTAATTTTCTTTCTTTCTTGTTTTCATTGACTTGCCACTGTGTGAATACCATGATGAGTTATATCTAAAGTGGCTTGCAAAGATCTAAAGATACATGGATGGCAGCAAGATAAAATTCCGAAGGAATGCAAATTACAGAATCTGCAACGAGGCTACTATAAAAATTCACACGTTGCTTAGGGAAGGCCAGCAATTTGGTTCGAAATTTTCTTTTAGTCAACACTAAGCAACTTGAACAGCTCCATGATTTACTAGGTGTTAAAAATAAACTGGGTGCCCCTAAGAGCATATGTTTCCTGAAGGAAGATAACATTGGAATTTATCCCCAGGGTCCTCATGCAAAGGATACGAATGCTGTACTACAGAGATTATCAGCAGCGTACATCCTCACCAGCGTATCTGTAGAGAGACTGAAGAGTGGGTTCCTCACTGGTCATTGTTTAGATTCCTCACTGTCAGCTGGTGTGATGGGTAATGGCTATAAACATGGGAACCACAAATTTAGCTCTTGACGGTCTCAATGATTAACTGAATCAACTCTCCTAACCCCCTCAACCAACACTGGACTTCATTCTTTCGTGCTAAAATATGAATGAGTGCATTCCATTTCAGCGATTTAAAGCAGATCACTTGTATGTATGTGTGTATGTGTGTGTGTATATATATATATATATATAT